GGGGGTGGAAGAACTGGGGGTGGAAGAACTGGGGGAGCCTGTGCAAGGGCCATGCAATCTTGGTAGCGCCGCTGAGGAACAAACTCAATAGCACCCACTCCACCTTCTGCATCTGCTCCTCCTCCAGCAGCTTCAAGTCCTGCATTATCTGTCTCAGCTTCAAAGAAACCCCTTTCAGCAGCTGAGCCAATCAGAGGCAAGGAGCTTGAGGAGGCAGCAGGAGGGGATTTTGGCTCTTCCTGAGTTGGGGGCTCACTCTGCTCAACCACACTGGGTTCTTTCTCTGCAGAGGTATGAGGTGGCAAACCCTGGCGCTCCCTGGCTATCTGCCGCTTAGCAAGGTCATGGGAGTAGCAGCAGTTCTCCCCCTCCTTGCACTGCTCATGCAGATAATACCTGCAGAGGATTTGGTTGATCCAGCTGCCACTGCTCCGCTCCTGCAGAGGATTGGGCCGGGCCCCACCCCCTGAGGGCTGGGCAGGCCGGGAGCGACTTGAGAGAGGTTGGACAGGACTCACAGCCACAGGGAAGGGTGCAGGGCCGGCTGCCATGTTCAAACAGGTCGAGATTGCTGCCTCAGATTGGCCGGAGGCCGAAAGTCCCGAGTGAGGGGGAGACACACTCTGCCCCTCCCCCTCTGCACCTGCCTTGGCACCGTCATCCCCGTGGGCGTCGGAGGGAGCTGTAGGATCTTCCATGACCTTTCTAGCACCTTCCAAGGCACTTAGGCTTGCTCTTGATGTCTATTCTTTTTTGGGGCTTGATCCCCGAAGTTTTAGCTCTGTCCCGAGATTTCTGGAAAAAAATAGAAAAAGTGTAACATTTTTTTCCTTCCCCCGGATTGCAGCTCCCTCTGACTCTTTGTTCCTACTTCCATAATGGAGGACCAGGCATGGAGGACACTTCCTGTGTGAACACCACTTATGTACTACCGGGTTGCAGTTCCCATGCGCAATGTGTCATATCTTTTGTTCAGGAGAGCAATTGCAGCTGGTGCCACACCTCTCCGGCATCTGCCGCTGCCTTGCTGAGCTTCAGCAACCCTTAATCCCTCTCTCCCCCTCTTCTGCTCTACAGGATGAGGTGTTAATTGGATCTCATTTTGTTTCTGTCATTCACATTTCATTTATTTTTCATGTATTTGTAAAAATCAGAATCCTTGTTTTTCCTGTGGTTTAGCAGTTCATCTTGTAGCTTCTGAAAATTTCATTCATAAATATTATAAATGCTTCCCCTCAGTCATTCCATGTTATGCCTATTCATGTTTATTTTGTTTTAATTCATTGCCCTCAGTGCTGGAAGTCTTATACTTTTTGTTTTGTTGACAAGACAACAATTTTCTTGGTCTTAATGTTCTCAAAATTCTATGGCTTAAGCTGAGTATGCTTTTCACCAGCGAAGCATTAACAGGGAGCCTTTCTGCTGTGAATTAGTGCCTTTCAGATGTCTTCTTTTGTTGTAATTTCTAAAGACACCTCCCATTCTGTAGACACCCGGACTCCCTCCAGGCTTGCTGCATTAATACACCCCTGCCTCCCATGTGACCCAAGCTTTCTATTTTCACTGCTGTTTTAATTCACGGAGGCTCTTTGTTTTCTTTCTTTTCATTCAGCAGGATCTGTGCTGTATTGTGACAGAACAAGCTTTCATGACATGTTCTCTGCAAGTGCTAAATTTTCATCTCCAAACGTAAGTATTTTTTTCTTTGCAAATATTATTTATTAGATTGATATTTTTTGCTTGTATATTTACTTTGCTAAGAGTATCTACTATGAGAGCAAACTGAATTTTATCATGTAGTTTTCTGTATTTTTGAGAAGTGGTCATATTTTCTTCTTTTTCTTAATGTGGTTGTTTGAACTTCTAAAATTTAAAATATTTAACTTGCTATTTAATTCCAAAGAATAGAATTTTGCTTGCTAAAATAGGTTGTTTTTTAGAAGAAATTGTGGAAACTAAATTTTTATTTAGAGTGGAATAAAGTCTAAATATTTATTATACAACCATCAGATCCTAATTAATGAAGCAAGTTAAAAAATCCTAAGTAAAAAAGCAAATTGACAAATAATAAATATAAGAAAAGCAATGAATTAAAGAAAAATAAACATGAAAGAAGGGAGATAGATCAAGGAAAATTCTTTAAAAGGATTATTGAAATTTATAAATCTCTAGTGCAAATTATCCAGAAAAAAATAAAGAAATTGCAATAACTAAAATCAAAATATTTAAAACTGATACCAAGAATTGATAACAGACAGTAAATATTATGAGGGGCTGTAAGAAAGATGGCTATATACCTGGAAACATATCTATTAATACAAAAAAATGTCTGCAGCAGATATAAAGATATATTTCTTATTCAGTAAATAAGAAACTGAAATAAATTACATATGTGATTGAAATAATTCTCCAAATGAAAGCTTTTGGAGCTTTTCCCCTGAATAAATAAGAAAGAAAAAAGCCATATTTATTATTGAATGCTCTAAGTAACACAATACAGTAAACAAATAAATCAAACATTTTAGAAATATAGAGAAATTATTGATGAAAGGAAGCAAAAATTGGGACTAATTTACAGATAAGACATTGGATTTAATAAGTTTATTTAGCAAGGGAAATTGACAGAAATGCAGCATTGAAAAACAGCTTTATTTCATTCTCTTGGTTTTTTTTTACATATTTTATAAAAAATGACAATTAAACATTTTATATTAATAGCATTTATCACATTAAAGTGATTATCCTGTGAAGTAAGATTGTACAAAAAAGTGAAAAGGCTTTTCTAATTTAAGAAAACATAAATAAATTAAAGGAACTTCAACACTAAGGCAGGCAGAAAGCTCAAAGGTTTTAAAAGAAAAGACTTTCTTAACTTCTTAATCATTTGCTGTTTTTCCAGCATGAATTTAGGAAATTTTGGTGATTTTGTCCTTTTCTCCCTTAGGTAGCTATTAGGTTTTTTAATTGGAATGCAAGCTTTTCCAAAGCCTGTCATGCTTCATTTCTCTGGAATAAAAGTCTTCTTTTCTCTTCTGAATCTGTTGGTTAATAAGGATTCTTTGGACAGCCCTCTTGAATTTTCATGGTTAAAATCTTGCAGCATGGCTCTGAAGATTGTATACCGAGCCCTCTACAGATTCACAAACACAGAGTCCAGAATACATATAATCTATTATTCTATAATGGTGATATATCCTTTGCATTGTGTCTAAATTGTTTGACCCACCTTTTGTACACCAGCTCTGTCCAGTAGAAATTTCTGTAGAGCATATTTTATATGTGTTGTCCCGCAGAGTAGCCTGTAGACTCCTGTGTCTCTTCAGCAGTTTAAAATGTATCTAGAGTGTTGGAGGATCTAAATTTTATTTTTTAATTATAAATTTAATTGAAATACTCACATAACACTAGTAACTACTGCATTGGTCAGTGAAATTTAATATATTATTTTTCCATTCTGTCTCTTCAAAACAAAGGAACTGAAAGATAGAATTTCTTAATCTGATCAAAGCTATAGGGTGAGTGCTTGGCAATGTTTGCTTTTAAATCACCATATGTGGGGCTCTGAATCATGTTCATAGTTCTTCATCTCACAGTGACTCTATCTTCCAGTTTAACAGTGGGAATGTTTCATATACAATATTTTAATGTAAATTTGTATCTTAAGCTTTTGAACACCATAAGAAACCAAACAACAGAAATATTGAGAAGGGCCTCTTGAGAGACATAAGCAAATTGCTACCTTCAAATGATTTTCTGGTTGCCTTTTATTCCTGAGCTATTTCTTTTTTAACTGTTAATATTGTTTAACACTGTCTCTGATCATTTGATATAGAGGGGTTCCCTGGTTGGGGGGATCAGGATTTGGGGGTCCAAGAGGAGCAAGAGGAAACAGAGATCTTCCTGAAGAGGCTGTGCTAAGCATTTAGGTCACTGGAGCATGTAGTGAAAAGTGGGGGAGGGGGCATGACAGCACTACGGAGCTGAGACACAGTGTGACAGCTTAACAATACCATGTAATGGGACATGTGTTCAGAAGTGGTCGTCTGCAGGGATGGAGAGAAAAAATTCAAGTGACCCTTCAGCCTCTTATTCCAGAGCTCAGGACTGTGGACCTCACCCCCACGTGATTAATACACCCACATCTAAAGAGCACACAATAGTGTCAAAGCAGTTCTCGTCACAGCACACACAGATGCTGTAGAACTAATATTCTAGGCATTGTGGGAGCAAGCTCAGAGGTAGGGATTAAATTAAAATGTCTAGAATCAGGATCATGTTTTCATATCCTCACTGAGATATTCACTTTGTATGGATTAATTATCCTTTTTTATTACCACATCTGGCAAACAACAGGCATAATAGTAACAGCAATAATAGTGACTGGTTCACAGGTTTACTGTCAGTTTTAGATGAGATAATTTTATAAAATTATTGAAACTGTCCCCATCAGAAGGGCCACTATTTGAAATAGCTGTTCGTCTTTTCTATTTTAGAACCACCCAAATAATCCTCTGACTAGACTTTATCTCTGCGAGTCCTCTCCTTCTGCTATTGGAACACAGATGTTCTATGTCTGTAGGGTTCCTGGTAATTCCTGGGACATGAGAGGTAGTGAATGAGTACTGTTTGCCTCACACTGATAGAAAACCTGATTTTAGTATGATATTTAACCATCCAGTTTTCTTGAACTGTAGTTTAGGAGTCAGACATGGGTGCCTTTGTGCAGTATTGTGTGTCTCCTCATTACTGTGGTAGCCATGGGAACACCGCTGAAAGGGACTCTTAGCTCAGCCTGGGAGAGGGTGGGCTGTGGGCTGCTTTGAGGAATGGCAGGCATGGTCAGTCTGAGTGAGCAGCTGGATAACAGCAAAGAAATTATTTAAAGATACTTCTTACTTTCAAGAAGCCCATAAAAAAATTACAATTAATACTATAGCCACTCAATTTTAAGACCGAAGCAGCACTGATGATAGAAAATAGCCTGATTTATCTATATTACAATCATACACTGAAAATGTAAGTAAATCATCTGGAAGCTTTTCTATAAGCATCAAGATTCAGCTGCATCTTGCACTTTAGTGTGAGTAACAGAAATTTGTCACATTTGTATTGGTGTTTTTCATACCTATAAAATACACCTAAATTTCATACCTATAAAACATACCTAAATTTCATTTATTTGTCACATGAAATAGCTTCAATTGGGATAATATTTCCATCCAGGATGATGATAAAAACTGGATGAAAATACATGAACTTGCTGCTTGAAGAACTTAGGAAAAAGCTAATGTGAGTGCCTAAGGTGCATGAGCTTTGGTTGTTAAGCTAAATAGCCTTCAAGTGATGGGGGAAACCAGAAATCAAATTAGAAAATATGTTCAATTGCATGACAATAATAACATGATAACACATGTTAGGTGCATGTGTCACCATGCTCATCACAATGCTTCTTTAGGGAAATTCTAGTTTGGAACATATAATGTATGTACCTAATACATTACAAAAGAAAAAATGCTGATCATTTCTGATATAATCACTCAATACACAATACCTTACAAAAGGAAAAAGGCTGATTATATCTGATATAATCATGTAACTTAGACAATTATAAAAAATATTTTAAATTTAACCACAAGAAAATTTATGATAGAAATGAAAATGAGAACTAAAATCAGTAGAAAAAACAAACATATGACAAGGTAATAGTCACAGGTTGGTTTCTTACTAGGTTTAGAGAAAGTGATAAACCTTTTGTGAGATTCACTGAGCACTCGACTAACTAATATCTAGTATTAAAAATGGTAATTACTGCTGTTCATATAGGACTAAAAGACCACAGGACTATACCATAAACAATTTAGGACATTAAATGCAGAAATGTAGTTCAAAGGAAAACCTAAAACTATCAAAAGTGAAAAAAAGAAGCAGGAGATATACACAGACAAATAGGTACTAGAGGAAATTAATGCTAATAAAAATCTTCTTAAAAACAGGACTCCAGGATCAAAAATGTTCACAATTAATTCTATCTTTAAGAACAAACATAGAACTGTTCTCATTAATGGATGTAAATCAACTACATACTTATTAAAGTATAAATATATAATACTGATAAAGTATATTTTAAGTAATGCAACAATATGTAGGCACTTGTTTTTCAGTCTTTCTCTTTGTGGCAAAGAGAGAGCAGGTCAGTATCCCATAAAGTTATAAACCCCCAAACAAAAAGAACAATCCTTGGTGTAAATAATCACATTAATATATTGAAGGAGGTATTACAAATGAGCTTTCAAGAATTCCATTTGGAAAAAATCAGGGCCTTTATGATTTCTGTTTTCAACAATTTCTTTATATGAACAGTGCATGAACCTGAAGGATTTTAATTTTATTGCCTTTATAAGATACAAGAACAGGACACAACTAGCCTTGCCTTAAGAATCAACAGTATTAAGTATTAATTTATTAATACTATTAATAGCATTAACTAGTATTAATAATTAGTTAATAGTTAATAATTAATAATTAGTTAATAGCCTTAACTAATAGTTAATAATTAG